CGTTGATTTGGTGTGGACTTATTCCTGTACAGTTGTATAGGTCCAGTAAATCTACTATCAAAATGGTAAGTGGTTTGGTATGTTGATAGACTATGATATTGTAGTTTATAATAAGAAATATGTATTTTGATCTTCATCTCCAGTTTTAGGCACAGAGCTCCTAAAATCAATGTAAGTTCCTAAGTGATCGGAGATAGTGGTGCTAGGTGCATCTTAAAAAAAAAGAGAGAGAGACAAAGTCTCATTCTGTCACCCACGCTAAAGTATAGTGGTCTGATCATAGCTCACTGGAACCTTGAATTTTTGGACTCAAGTGATCCTCCTGCCTCAGCCTCCGGAGTTGCTGGCACTGTAAGTGTGCACAACCATGACGGGCTAATTTTTAAACTGTTTGTAGAGACAGTGTCTCACTGTGTTGCTCAGGCTGGTCTTGAACTCCTGGGCTCAAGAGATCTTCCCACCTTGGCTTTCCAAAATGCTGGGATTACAGGCATGAGCCCCTGTGCTCGGCCAGGTGCATTTTGTACTCATATTTGGTCTGTGACCCTGGTTCCTGACACAGAGCTCCTAATCCCTTGGATTTCCTAGGTAATAGGAGCATCTTTTGTTCTAATGAGGTGGCTCTTGGTGGATTCCTGGACAGCAGCTGATCACCAGAAAGACCAAGCCATGATTAGAAGCTTGGAACTTTCAGCCCCACCCACCAATCTCTGGGAAGAGGTTGAAAGAGGTGCTAGAGATTGAGCTAATAATTGATCATGCTTAAGTGATGAAGCCTCCATAAAAATCCTGAAAATACAAGGTTCAGAGAGCTTCCAGGGTGCTTAACACTAGTAGCTGGCGAAGGTGATACTCCTGAAGAGTGCATGGAAGCTCTGCACCCTTTCCCACATACTTTGCCCTAAGTATTTCTTCCATTTGGATATTCATCTTTGTAACATCTTTTGCTCTTTGTAAGATCCTTTAAAGCAGCAGTCCCTAACCTTTTTGGTACCAGAGATTGGTTTCACAGAAGATAATTTTTCCACTGACCGCGGGTGGGGTGGGGAAGGCAGAGCTGGAGGGGAGGTGGAACTCTGTAGCCAGCTCCTAACAGGTCTCCCTAACAGGTTGCAGACTGATACCTGCTGTGTGACCTGGTTCTTAAGTTTCATGGAAGACAATTTTTCCACGGATGGGTGGGGGAGGGTGGGGGAGAGGCAGAGCTGTGGGGAGTGGAGCTCTGTGGCCGGATTCCTAACAGGCTCAGACTGGGATTGGGGATTGTAGCTTACACAAATAAATTAAAGTTTTTCCCTGAATTTTTTGAGCTATTCTAATAAATGATCAAATATGAGAAAGGGGTTGTGGGAACCCTTGATTCATAGCCAGTGGTCAGAAGCACAGGTCACAACCTGGAACTTGGGACTGGCATCTGAAAGGGGGGGGCAGTTTTGTGGGACTGGGCCCTTAACCTGAAGGGTCTTCACTATTTCCAGGTAAGATACTGTCAAAACAGAGTTAAATTGTGGGACAACCAGTTGGTATCTAGAGAGAATTGGATAATTGTTTGGTGGGGGAAAAAAACATCTCTACACATCTGGTCACACAAGTGTGTTGTGTTGAGAGTATGGTAAGAGAAAGCAGTTTGTTTTTCTGTACTATACACAGATTACTAAAGGGTACGTGGGTGAGGAAAAGTCTGGTGTACTCCAAAGAGAAGCACAGTATTCTTATATTCCTGGGTTGATTAGTCTTTACTCCCCCTAGCCACACACTGGATTTCTCTGAGGTTCAGACACATGTGATGTTCGGTTCTTCTAATCTTTCTCATTCCAGTATTCATGCAGAGATTATCAAAACAGAAATTTCATTTTGTTTAGAAAACAATTTTCAGAGCTTTTTCACAGAATAATCACTATAAACAATTTGCTCCATATATACAGAAGAGGAACTGACAGGGTCCCCTCGTACAGCTCCAGGAGGCTACATTTATATCTCTATGGAGACATGCAATGTAGGGCTGTATTGGGGACTCAGCAGCCCATTATCAGAGGTTTCAAAATATCTGGCCAGGACCTTTTTTTTAAATTTATTTTTATTTTAAATTCAGAATTTCAATGATTTTAGTGGGGTCTGGTTTGCTTTGGTTCTCCACAGTACTCACAACTAACCCATACCTTCAAAATATTCATATTTAAATTACAGGCCTAATTCCTGAAGACATAAGACTTTGTCCTCCTGCCAAAGCAAGATCTTCAATTAATTACCCTGATGACTGCCCAAGAGGCAAATCCACTTCTTTGTAACTGCTGACAAGTTTTATGCTTCATCAGGATTTTGCTGAGAAGACTGGTTCCCTTCATGTAAGACTCTAGCCCCTAGAATTTTATTTGGTTTTCTATTTTGGCTTATTCATTTATCCAATCAGGCATTTTCCATTTTCCAGGAATTCCTAAAAATTCCTAGTCCTCTGACAGCATCCTCTCTTGTTTTATTAACTTATTTTTTTATATATCTTTATCGTCATAGCAATAGAATTTTTAGAGAGAAAAAAATACATAAAGGCAAGTTTTTAGTCTGTTATCTTGGACTACAAATCTAAATCCTCTTTTTAAAAATAATCTCATTTTTGGTACTTGATTTCATTTACTGCTAGTAGGTTCCACTGCCCTGTGTTCCTGAGTGTAGAGGACAAACAGATACAGATACGTATGTTGACAGAGGGGCTGTTGTGCATTACCGCAATTTTACTTAGAATGTGAACTATCCTGGGTTAGACAATATATGTAAAGATGTTAGCAAAGAATTCGGAATATAACATGGCCAATACTCAGTCACTGTTAATACCAATAAGAATTGAGGGAAGAAAAGGAGACGAAAAGAGGCAGTTAAGAAAGAACTAAGAGATTCAGATGAAGGGAGAACGGCAAAACAATTATTGAAAGAGTTTAATACTGTAGACCCATTTATTGACTATTCATAAGATCTACTAAGTTTATGATATGGAGTTTTTCTGAGTATTGAATATGAAAAGTTAAACTGAGAGTATAACAGACAAGAATGAGCCAGCCACTTATTTAATCTAAGCCTAGCCAGGATAATTAGGGTAAGCCTAGTCAATTCCCTAGTAGTTCTTCATTTATGATCATTTTACATCTTTGAAGAGTCTCAATTATCTTTATCGCCTTCTACAAGGGAAATTATAAGCTTTAGTGGTAATTGTAAATTTCTCTTGGCCCCTCTCATAAATACAAAAAGGTTAGTTAATCTTAATCATTTAGATTAGGCTAAGAAATTTGAAAGAGTATCTTTAACAACCTCACATAATTACTAAGTTTAGCAGAACCTGAAAGGAGGAAGAATACTGTGATGAAAAAAAGGCAAAAGCCTGGGACTTAGGACATTTCCTACATCCTGCTCATGAATACAGGCAATAAAGAATTAATTTAAAATCTACTGGGGGCTGGGCGCAGTGGCTCCCGCCTGTAATCCTAGCACTCTGGGAGACTGAGGCAGGTGGATCACTCAAGGTCAGGAGTTCGAGACTAGCCTGAGCAAGAGCGAGACCCCATCTCTATTAAAAATAGAAGGAAATTAGCTGGACAACTAAAAATATATAGAAAAAAGTAGCCGGGCATGGTGGTGTGGGCCTGTAGTCCTAGCTACCAGGGAGGCTGAGGCAGGAGAATTGCTTGAGCCCAGGAGTTTGAGGTTGCTGTGAGCTAGGCTGACGCCATGGCACTCTACCCCGGGCGACAGAGTGAGACTCTGTTTCAAAAAAAAAAAAAATAAAAATAAAAAAAAATCTACTGGGGATAGGATGTTTTACCATAAATCGTTTTGTAATACAGGCTGCTTCAAAGATAGAATTTCTATTCATAGATAGTTCATAAATAATTTCACCTTATACTCCCCTTTTAAGAGAGGCAACCCTGGAAAGATACTGCTTAGTAATTCCTCATCTTAATGTGGGAAAAATCATTTTAATTTCATTCTACCCAACAGAAGAAAGAGAAAGGGTGGGAGAAGTGAATTTGTTTTATAAATTGATTCGTAATTCTGCACAATGAATAATTAGAGTCCATTTTATTGCAACCAATTCTTATCTGTTCATGGAAGAAAGGGCAAGAAAAGTATGAATGGATGTCTTCCCTGACAATAAACATCTTAGAAAGCCATATTTCCCAAGTAAGATCAAAATCTACAGGCTGATTATTGCTAACTCCATTAGTCCTCAGTCTAACCTCTAATGCAAGAATTCCTAACTTCTGGGCATAAAATATCTTTATAATAACATTTTTTAAGACAAAAAAAATTTGAAATACTGAACAACAGCATTCATACTTTTAATTTCTGTTGTCTAAGAAAAAAATGAAAAACTGACTTCAGTTGTATTCAGAAATGAAATTTTTTTATTAATGTCAAAAGCAACCATATACATTAAAAAAGTAGTGATGCATATAGACACATTATTTATTAAGTCTATTGGCAATATTTTTTGCACTTGAGGATTATAGACCACCCACAATAATTTTGCAGATTTCTCTGCTTTAAATGTCATTTACAAGGTACACTGTTCCAATGGTGATACTAATAAACAATTATCAAAAGTTATGTAGACAAGAGGAAAAATATCAAGCACACTGAAAATTCAACATTTGATAATAACTCAGAATGGGAATTTATTAAGGGTGAAGAATGAATCTTACCTGGCATATACTAGATAATAAACAAGCTCAAGTCTGAAATTCTGACTGATTTTAAACCAGTACTCAGACGTGAATGTGGTGCACGTTTGGTAGATAGGTTAGAATGTCAAATCTGACACTAGAGATAATTTGTTTCAGTTAAGGAACACAGACTTTGGCAACAAATAATTATCTTTTCCATTCTTGTTTGAGATGGATCCTTTCTATTTGCATGACCTCTAAGTATGAATAATATAGTCATTTTCAACAACTGATTTTTCTGAAAGAAACAAAGAAACAGCAAAATGATGATATTAAAAACTGACTCACCACTGTCCTCTGTTTGTTGGGCAGGAAGACTCTAACGATAGGTTTTTGTGGTGACTTGGGGTTGCTCCGTGACACATCTGTGGGATTTTGAAAAACTGAAAGAGATGAAGGTAGCACTGAAAGGCTAGAAGAGGAAGAAGATGTAACTGTGTCCGTTGACGCAGAGCTAGAAACAGAAAAATCAGTTCCATTCCCCAGGGATTCCAATAATTGTTGTTCTCTCTGTTGGAGGGCATCTAGCTTGCTGGTGTATTCTTCATAGGCCTATAAAATAAAGTAGACTTATATTGAATCTGGACTTTATTTTGACATTAACAAAAGGAAATATGAAATTTCAGTCTTTGATTATAATCTCTTCAATAATATATTGCTAATGGAGATTTAAGTTACAAGTTACAAAGTAAGTGCTACAAATACTGCAAATTAATACTTTCACCATTAAATTGATAAACTGTTTGTTATAAGGCACTACACTACATTACACCAAGAAGTCTGGCCTAAATGTATGTGATATCTAGATGGTTTATGAATAATAAAAAAACATAGTATTTTTAGCTTTCTCATCAAATCATAATTTATCTCTCAAATCACATATTTAAGATAAAATACTATAATACATCAAGGATAGGTGTCCAATGCCCCCATTAAAAAATTCTTTTTTCCAGAAGAGCTGTAAGCATATAAAGTTTCATACCCCGCCCCCCGCCACACGCTCTTAACAGAAAAAGAAGTTGAAAAGGAGATGAGGTGTTAAAAAAGATTTGTCAAAAAATAAGACTCAAGACACAGTGCAAGATCTCATTGTTAGCACCAAAACCTCCGCAATGTGGCTCAGAAGATGTGTAACTGCCTCCTTCTTCTATTTTGTTTATTTCTCATGTATAGCACTTACACAAATAAAAATATATCCATCTGCTTCTTGACAGCCCAATAATAAAATCCTTGAGGTAGAAAATGCCATTTTTAAATCTTTGATTTTCCCTCATGGTCTTTCATAAATGCTTGTAGTATTATAAGCTTAACAGAAAAAGAAGTTGAAAAGGAGATGAGGTTGGCAAAAATGTTTTGATTGTAATGGTTCCTATTTTGGTTAATAAAGATGTGTTTGAGTCTAGTTATTAATATAATGATTTAAAATTCATGGTCTGAAACCATACTTTTGCACCAATCTAACATATGGTTCTGTTAATAAGAGGTTCCTAGAGTAGTCAAATTCATAGAGACAGAGAGCAGAATGGCGGCTGCGAGGAACTGTGGGGAGAACGGAGTAGGGATTTAGTGTCCAATGGGTACAGAGTTTCAGTTTGGGATGACAAAAAAGTTCTGGAGATAGATGGTGATAATTGTTGTACAACAATATGAATGTGCTTAATGCCACAGAACTATATATTCAAAAATGGTTAAAATAGGTATTTTATGTTATGTATATTTTGCCACAAATAAAAGAGAAAAGAGAAAGTGTTAAGGACTCTTAAATGGTGGACTGGAAACCTGTAGAATAGTAGGACACAGTGGGTTATCATCAGTAGACTTGGCTTTTCACTGACAGGGCTTCAAATATCAATACCTACAGGTCTTTTCTCTTGGGTTAGTCAACTTTCCCCAGGCAAGAATTCTATTATCTCTAGCCAGGCTCCTCTTCATGGTATATAAATGGTGATAAGTGCAATGTTCTAACTCATTTATGTGTTTATTGTGTATATCTTCCTCCCCCCATTAAAACATGAGCTATTAATATTTAAAGGCAGAGATTTGGGGCCATTTTTTAAAATTGCTATTTCCTAGGTCCTAGAACAGTACAAATGCTATCAGGCACTCAGTAAATATCTGTTAAATGAATGAATCAACTATTTATGGAGTACTTAATACATATGTCAGGAACTCTATTTCATAATTATGAACTCAATTAATCCTTAAATTGCCACACATGATATTATTCCCATTTTACCAATGAGGTTGGGAATAAGATTAGGTACTATGTCTGTGGAAACTAAGGTGCACTTGGGATTCAAACATGGAGTCTGTGTGACTCCACGATTCATCTTAATCATTTTATTATACTGACTTCTACAGTACGTGTGTGTATGTGTGTGTGTATATGCACATATATGCATATTACAAATTTTGTAGCACTAGTCCCTGAGAATAAGAATCTGCTTTACCACATGCTAATGATACAACATATGAGTCATGGTCTGATGTATACTATCCCAATTATACTTAGTTTGAATAGGTGATTCAATTTTGTGTGGATAATTCTAAAAGGAACCAACCAAATAGAATATATCTAGTATAAGGTCCACTAACAACGTCACATAAAATAGCTTAAGGAATTAGAAATATTTAGCTAAAATAAGAAGAGCTGTTGGGAGGGGCAGGGGTGAGAGAGAGAATGTCATGATAAATATAGAATAAGGAAGTGATCAAGAGCATAGACTTCTGAGTTAGAGATCTGCATTATTTCCATAATTAGCAGTCACTGCAGGTAAGTTACTTAGCCTCTTACTGTTTCTTCAGCTATAAAAAGGAGATAGCAAAAATACCTAGTATCTAGCTCAAAGTAATTATAAGGATTAAATTAATAAATGCACTTAACACAGTACTGGGCACAGAATAACAAGCTTGAAGGTTTGTTGTTGTTGTTGTTAATGATCTGTCCTTGAATAGTAAAAAGCCTGAAGAGTGTGTGTGGAGGAGGTGGTGAATCACCGCTATACTGAGACTGGTTAGTGATCTAAATGTATTATGCCTGAGCATGGTGGGGGGAAATTGTCCTTAAGGTACAGAAATGGCTGGCAGAAAAACTGCTGGTTATATTGTCTAATTCTGATTAACAAAATATTACCATTTTTGGTAGGACTATTTGCCTCCTTATGATTTCTTTGCTTGGCCTCCTAAGACATACAAGTAAAAGAGATAGCATGGGATATTAGGAAGTATACCAACCAGTATTCAGAGATAAGAATTCTAGTCCTAGCTTTAATACTAACTAGTAGTGTGATCTAAGACAAGCCACATGAAGTAGAGGAGAAAGAAGAAAGCAGTTTATTAACTGTTATTTCCGAACTTTCCAAGTTTATTTTAGAAATGCAAGCTTACTTTCTCATAAAATACTGAAGACTTAATTTGCCCTTTAAAAAGTAATTAGATTACTAAGTTGAAGAAATTTAGTTTAGATGCCTTTCAATCTGTACTTAAAAACTTCCAGCATTTAGAGCCAAATGGCAACCTGATCATTTATAATTTAGGGTTATCTCCCTGTATGACTAATGATTATAGCTGAGCCAGCTTCTACAGAGAAAGGCAGTGTAGGATAGTAGTGAACAGTGTGGGCTGTAGAGCCTGACCGCCTAGACTCCATAATAGCTTGCTGGGTTATACAAGGAAACTAATGCCAAGAAAGCTTATCTGTGATTAGAATAGTATCCACTATCTCATAGGATTAAGAACAATGACTAACTCTATAAATTCACAATCATGCTCAGGGCTTGGCACAAACCTCAAGGCACTCTTAAACAATAAAGCTAAACAATGTTGGACTATTTACAGATTATAAATTTTTTCTTATGAAGCAGAAACCAATTTTGGGGGGACTTAAGTTAGAAAAGATATTTTACAAAATTGTCCCGTTTTCCAATATGGTAACTAGTCTGCTGACCTCCAAAAGAGTGTTCCCTCTCTTCTTTTTTAATTCAAAGAAATACTTCGAAATTTCCCTTTTAGTTTTGTAAATTACAAAAGTAGCATTTATTGTAACAAGTGAAACAAAACAAGATTAAGAAGTATAATAAAGTCAAAGCTAATTCTCTCTTCTTGTATCTATTCCTAATCCTATCCCCTAAAATAACCAAGATTATCAGTGCAAATGCTTTTAGTTCATTTTTTTTCTTCCCAAAATTACTAAAGATATGATACTCAAAAGCTTACCTCCAGATATATTGATGGTGGATTATGCTCCCCACCAAATTTGTCCAGCAGGGCCTCTATATGTTCTTGTGTCAACTTAATCATTTGTTTGATATTCCACACCTAAAAAATATTTTAAAACAATTTAAATAAAAATTACTTAGGATATGAATTAGAAATATTTTAATGTAGACAACTACACTGCAGTAACTTTCAATGTTCCTCAAAATTTAGAGCTTAAAGATCATT